CTGTACCTGTGCTTTGTCTTCATCTGTCACCTCTACTGACAGTCAGATCCATCTTAAATTGGGAGAGAGTCGGGGTGGAGGGAAGCAATAATTAGCCTCTGTGCAGTTTGCTCTGCTGAAATACCGTAGCCCAATGATGCACAAGGAGACAGTCCTGACACTTTTATTGCTGCCCGGCTGTCCCTATTCATCCTCTGTGTAGGAGGGGATTCTTTAGAGCTGTGCTGCCTAGGACAGAGACCCAGAAAGGACTTCAGTTTGTAAGAGAAAAGGCTGCCACTGATTCGTCATCACCAGGGGATCCAGAACACATTGCCCAAACACTCTACAATTCTGCAACAGTACAACTTAACATTCTGTGATGAGAATAATTATGTAAACAGACCTCTTTTTGCATCCCCATGCCGCTTTATTGAGAAAGCATACATTTATTTTTATATGAAATATTTCAATTGCAAACTTCCCCCTCCCCCCAAAAAAACCCCAAACCACTGTGTAGATGAGGGTTGCAGAACTTGAGCTTTTTTCTGGCAGGGACTCAAGTGCACAAAGAAGGAACTGGGAAAACCAAAAGTGCATGATGGGTGAATTTCAGAAAACAGAATGGTGTAGTCTCTTTTTCTGACCACTGCAAAGCCTGCAGAAAGGACAGGTGTAATCTTATTTACCTACGAATAAATCCCACTACTTCTAAACCGCTTAATTAACTACTAGCTATTTTTGTCAAAAAAACCAACCACACAGTTTTCTGGACCAGTTTTTCAGATTACATATCAGGTGAAGGATAACAGAACAAGAGTTTATGCCTCTTCTCACCAAAGGTCTGAAGATTTTGAAATTCAATGTGCTTAGATTTATAAGAATTAAATTGTTTTAGACCCACCTGCATAGCAGCTCTGCCCCACTCAGCAAGCCACTTCTAGAATATACAAAGTCTCTTTTGTGCAAAATCTTTATGAACTCTACTGTCATTACTCGCCCCCCCCCCCCGGGGTGGATAACCTTAAGCTGGGGTCTGAATGTGGCCCTCTAGGTTTCTCTGGGTCAAGAGCACTGTGTAAAATGATAATCAGAACAATAACAAAGAAGGAAAAACTAAAAAAAAAAAGAAGTCAATTGGATTCAGAGAATAAATGAAGACAATACCATCAGCCAATATCAGTTATTCTTAAATCACCATGAGTTTGAGGTGGAATAAAAGTTGTTTTCTTTGTTAGACGTGAATTCAATAAAATGACACCATGTTTTTTTCCAAATTTGTCTGACTCCTTTCCTTTTCATAATGCTTTCATTTTATGTGCTATTTTTCCATATATATGGTTGACTAGATTTCTTAGAATCAAACTTCCAATAAACCCAAATGGGAAGCTTTCCAATATTTTGCTATTGTTAATCTAGCAGCTGTCAATTTGTGTCAAATCTTACCTGCTCAACCCTGCAGTAGTGTGAAGGAAGCTACAGGTAGGATTATGACAGATAGAAAGACAAAAGCAGAATTTGGTTCTGAATGCTAAGACTTGTTTTGTTCTGGGAAAACCATTTGAACTTACTTCCAGGCATCAAAACATTTTGGGCAAGCACTGTTCAACAGTCTTGTTTAGGGTACATAGAAGGGACAATCTGGCAGAAGTAAAGATCTTATAAACTCTGGTATCTTTTTGCTCTGTGTATTCTTTGTCTTACATGGGACCTTTGCAACAAAGATGGAAATTGGGATGATCCATTCCCTATCACTCTCCTTTCCTTGAGTCAGCATAATTGAATTGTTATCTAATTAGCACTTTCTTCAAGAGTATAGTTTTGCTCAACAACAGCCATGTTTAATGTTATAAGGAGTACCTGTGCCTAATGAACAGACCTGTGTGGTCTGAAGTGTACACTGGTAAACTGGTATCAGAAAAGATTTTATTTTTTTTTTTTGCACTGCAGCCCTTTTGAAAAAGAATCGAATCATGGTAGCTGTCCACAGTGCTGAAACATGAGACACTCTACCTCTAATGGAAGCCTTGAACGTCTCTCAACAAAAATGTTCTTCATGTAGTTTGATTAGAACACATAGTGCTAATTCATAGTTTTTGGAGAGTGTTATCTTGAACAGTGCTGAGCTAAAAGAGGGAGACACATCTTGCAAACATTTCAGCACACTACAAAAACTTCTTTCCTCTTTGTGGGGGTTTTGCAGCAGAGGCTCTCTGATGCATTTTAAATGGATTTTTACATCCTAAAGTAAAGTATTGTTTTAGCCTGTTCACAGACAGCATACTCTGTTTCTCTTAAAACTGAGAATATTCAGTGACGGTTTCCTTAATTCAGAGAAATGGGATTTGTGCATTTGTTTGGCTAAGCATATAACCACACAACCTCTCAAGAAGGAAAGTTAATTCCCAGAATTCCCCTTCCTCAAGAGCATCCTGTAAAAAACTGTTTCCTGGCAACACAACATGCATTATATTGCAACATCATGAAATGTGGTGCTAAATGGATGTATCAGTAAAGGCTAAATGATTTGTAAACTGCTCGGAGACTGTATTGGAATTAAGCAGAATATAAATATGTAAAATTTTAAAAATAGCAATAGTGATGGAGAAACTGAGGGACCGAGGTGAGAAATGCATGAACAAATCTAATGAAAAGTTTAAGTATAAAAAGGGCATCTGTGAAAGCAAGCTGTTGTACTTGCTCTTTTACAAAAGGGGTATTGTCATAGTCTATGCCTTCTTATTGCATAGATCACTGTAATAGGATTCTCCCCCCCCCCCCAGTCAGGGATATTAGATTTTTTAATCCAGTTTGGTAATACTGAATTTATTTTTAATGCACCCATGTCACACTATTGGGGATTCTTGCCCAAGACTATTTTAAGGCTTTGCGACAGAGACAGGAACCCGGATATTCTAGGTCCCTAGACAGCTTCTTGATTGCCTATCATGAATAAACCTTCCTGTCTTTAAACAGGTGTGCCACAAAAGTTTCTAAGATTAGAAATTATTCTAAACCTTAAGCATTTTGTAAAGCCCCAATCTGCTGTAAATGTTACACAAATCAAACATTTCTTTGAACTCTGCTGGCCCTTTCAATTTGGCCCTGATGCGCTGAGCTAACCTATTTTTCAGCAAAGTATCACTGAACAGGCCAAACTTCAGAGATATTTTGTACTATGTTGTGAAAGAAGGAAACACAGCTTGAAATTCCCTGGGGTGACAGATGGGGGCAGCAATCCTAGTTTTAAAACAAACCTGAGAACTAGTTAGCACAGTATTTGCTTTGGCAACGAAAAGTAGGTATTACCCTACGAGACATTGATAAGTTGGATGTATTAATAACAGACATCCTTCCCCTCCCGCACAAGCATCCAGTTTCAAAACAGTAGTCATAATAAACCCTTCAAATGTTGGAAATGCACAGATGGGATTTTAATCAAGCCCAGTTTGAGCACATGGGTGCTCAAGCTAATCTAATTCCAGTCAGTTCATTAGGAAAGATATAAATCACTCAGTGATTGACAAAAGGCTGTAAGTCAAAGTGGATTCTAAGGAGCTATGTCAGCATTGGAACTTATCAGATGGGACATTGCCCAAACTTTTCGGTGCTTTCTTTCCGCTGTAGAAATGTTCAGAATGATAGCTGCAAGTTTATTTTCAATTTGATTTTTAACAGATAAAATGTAACCCTCTATTTTTCTAAATGTAATTTTTCAGCACTGAGAAACTGCCTTTTTGGCATTTCCAATTAGTTAACTTTCTTCTTCTTCATTAGATTGTAAGATCTTTCAGGAAGTGAATGGCTCTCATCATATGCAGTGACATAGGTGATATTGTCATAGTGCGTTCTCATCTGTGCTTACTCAGAAGTAAGGCTCTCTGAGTTCAGTGGGACTTACTTCCAGGTACATGTGTCTAGAATTGCAACCAGAAGCATTTAGGAGGTAACTTCAAAGGTCAATGGGACAACGTAGGATAGAGGTCAATTTCCAGAATGATCTGGCAAAAATTTAACAGGACAATGGGATGTTTAAAAGAAAAGAAAATGACTATAAAATATTATTTAATAAAACAATAAAACATATAAATATGTGAGTAATAAATGTTAATCAAAACCAAATAATGGCTTCTTTCATATTTGGTGGGAATGCTCGATAATGAAACTCTTTAAAAATAAGAGGAGACCCCATACACACAGGTAGACTTTCTGATGGCAAAGTCCAGCTACATCACTCCAACCATCATTACTGATCAAACCATCATGAACATTTTTGTCTGCAGAATCATACTGCAGAGGCATGCAGAACATTACATTACAGCCTCAATGGGAAAATATATTCACAGCTTCTCCCTTCCCCACATGAGTGGGAAGGATAAGACAGGAAAAAAGGTTGAACACCTGCATGCCACCACTCACTATTCTCACTCACCTACTCCCAAATGTATTGGGCATACCAGTTCCGTGAATACTTACTGTTACTGATTATTCTTTATCTAGGCCTCACTTTGCTCTCTGCAGGCCACTCTCACGGGAACAAAATTAATCTCATGCCTGGTTCTGTCCTGATCAAGAGGGAGGCCCACCCCATGACCAGCAGTAGTGAGTGGGATGCTTCTGGCTTTTCCTTCATAAATATGTTAGCTTCTTGTTCCAGACAGCCTTCCACACTTTTGCAAACTCTGTGGCACATGGTTATGCAGCAGGTGAAGATGCTCCTAGTTCACTTGTACAACATTGGATTCTGCCATTTTTTATATCAGCCTACACGAAATCATGTCATTTGCTCTCCTCCTCATCCATCCTTCCAACATACAACAGGTTCTTCTCCTGGGTGGCCTCTGTTCCCACATCAGGCTCCACAAAGTCCCACCCCAATTCTACCAAGCTCAACCCCCAGATTTGCCAGGATCCACCCCTTCAGCTGCACCTTCAGGAGACCCAGCACAGTACTTCATAGAATCATAGAACTGTCATGTTTGAAGGGACCACAAGGGTCATCTAGTCAACATGGGGCTTTTTGCTCAACATGGGGCTCATATCCATCACCCTGAGATTAAGAGTCTCATGCTCTACTGACTGAGCTATGCATTTCCTTACCAAATAATCTACCATGGTGCCCACATAGCTAAGAATTATTGTTCATGATCTGTAATTTTTGTTCTTATCAAATTCCATCTTCCAATTTTCTCTCACGATCCCCCAACTTTTCACTATAAAGTCATCTCCCGGCAAACAGTTCCTTCTTGTTCGTCCCATTTCTTGCATACAAACATTATATATATTTTAAAAATCCTTAGACAGCTTTTCTTTATTTCACTTCTTAAAAAAAACCCAGTCGCACCAGCCCTTATCTTGGCTGTGTGTCCGCGAGCACACACACACTCTCCACTCTTTTATGGTGGCTCAAAGGGTGGAGCTCTCTGAGGCAGACCAAGAGGAAGCCTCAGCATCAGGCAACCCCACTATTTGAATGGGAATGGCAGGAGCTCTTTGATGGGAGTAATCTATCTCCATCACTGTAATGACCATTCCCATTAATCGGCCATAAACTAATAAAGTAAGCACTTTCCCCTCTGCACCCCCCACCCTTCCAAACTTCATTAAGTCTTTAGTACATTAATATGTCTTACTTAGTGTCTGTTAAGCCTCTTTTTCTCTGCGTACCTGATGAAACACCTCCCGTGGGACAGCTGAAGCCTTGACAGCTCAGGCCTCAAGTTAGAAGCCATCACTAGGCCTTGTTGTTACGGCAACACCACCCTTGCTACATGCACAGCGGGTTGGGGAGGGGGGGATGATGATGAAGGGAAGGGGGAGAACAGTAAAAGAGCTGCTACACCTCCAAATTAAATTTGCGATGCCAGGCATCAGATGGGCCCACAGCCAGAGATTAATTCGCCTGATCAAGTTATAAAGAGTGCTGAGGCTGGTAATCAATCTTGTAGCTGTCAGGGAGATAGGCAGTGGTATTAACCTGGCAGGACTCACGAAAATGCAGGCCTCTTTCATTCTTTTCACAATGACTATTATTTCCCTGGCCTGTTTTGTCTGGTTGCGCTGGTGGTGTCAGGGTGGGATGGTGTGGGATTGATAGCTGTCCTCCCTCCCTCCCTCTGTCCAAGAAATAATTCTGCATTATTTAGATTTCGGTTCCAATTTAACTTGACTACTGGCTTCCACTCAAACATTTGCCTAGGAGTCAGGAAGGTGATGGTGGTGAAGCAGGGAATGGACATCAGGGCCTAATTTTTTTCCATGAGTGTGAACAGGCAACCTTTTGGTGGTGAGGGGGTGGGTGGGTTAAGGAACAATCACTTCGTGTTAATTTGCTGCCCCATTAGTATGCTTTAGCCACCCTTTTAATTCTCAGAATCTTGGGGGTGATGACAGAGTCGCAAAGGGTGGCCTTTTTCTACCCTTTCAATGGGTGAAGTGTGACCTGTGATTGTAAATATACAACAAGAGCATGGTATTCCAGGTTAATTACTCTGGTGTAAATGTGTGATTAATCCAGTGACAATGGTTTATTGCCAAAGCCTAGGTATGGATTGTTGTGATGATACAAAGGTTAATTAGGAATTAGAAATAATTAATGAGGTGGTGCTGACTCAGGCAGAGATATTGAATTGGAGTTAGCGATGGGACTGAGCAGCAGTGATAACTGTTAGCTATACATCTAGATTAGCTAAGGCTCCGAACATTGTAGAACTTCCCTTCCTGATCATCACTTTACATCCTTTCCTACCTTTCTTAATGCCATCTGCTTCTCAGCTTAGATAGTGAGCCTGAGTAAAAGCAAGAGTACACATTATGCTGAGTTTTAGGAAACATTCCCCTACTTGAAAAAGAAAAAGAAATTAGAGGAGGAGGAGTGATGGAGAGAGGTGTTTAACCTCAGGATGCTTTTCCTCTCAAAATTGTCCCCAGCTGCCTTCCTTCCTTACGAGTTCTTGTATCTTTTCCTCTGCAGAGATAAAAGCAGTTTGAGGTGACCTTAGAAGGAAAAACAGTTAGCAGGGAGGAAAAGTTAATCACCTTTTTCCACATGGGGGAAAGGAGACATTGAATTTTGTGCTATATGTTGTGCAGGTGTGTGGCCTTCCATATGTTGAGGGACCCCAATTCATTCCAGCCAGCATGGGATTGTGGGAGTTGCAGTCCAACAACATCTGGAAAGCCACAGGTTCCCCACTTTGATTGTTGAGTTTTCTCCTTGTCCTTGCAAGCAAGAATCAGATTCATTTTCTAGTGGTAAGGTTGTGAAACCCTAATTCAGGCTGCAAATACCATTATCTATTTTGACTGCCATTATTTCAGCTGGTCTGATGTCACAGAGGGCTCTGCCATAAGCATTTTAATGAAATCTTGAAGATGCATTTAAGCAGAAACAAGTATTCATGTTGCTTATAGTTTGCATGATTATAAATAGAAGTAATAAACTGTCCAGTTTACCAAAAGTTTTTAGATAGAATGCTGTTATTCTAAGCCTAGTAGAAGTCCTTGCAAATTTAGTGTCCATCTTTCCAACTGCTGCTCTCCTTCTACACACACTTCTGCTGCTCACAAACAGCAAGAAATGAAGGAAAGACAGGGGGTCTGAAGCTATAGATACAACAAGCAGGGGGAGTGAGGACTGCAATTAAATGTATGTGTAAACCTCTATAGATGCATCCCAATAGCACTTGAAAACAGAAGGTTCAGATATTCACTTATAGCTTTAAAGCAACAAATGTACAAATGGTGTACAGAGAGCAATTTTGAGTTTCTCACAGCTCTTCTCATAATACAGTTGCTAATTCTGCAATGGGGGCATTTGTCCAACATGCTTCTTTGGGCATGGGATTTCCAAACCTCTCCATACAAATCAATGGGTTGAATGCTACTTCAACAACTTTTTGAGGGTAGCTCTTCATTCCCTAGGGAGAGCATTTTATTCAGGAGCTGTAAGAGGGGAAGGGACACACTTATGGCCACAATGTACCTTGAAAGAGATCTTCATTTTCTGTATGGTTCCAGTTAACAGGAGGTTGATGTTTCTGGCAAATACAGATGTTACTGCTCTGATCTTTTTTTTGCAACTATTAGGGTCAGGATGCTAACTGCTCTTTCAAGGTCACGTATGACAGGAGCTTGTACCAGGGTCATGAATAGCTCATGAGAGGTGTATTTTATATGAAAGTCACGCCAGCTGTTCTAATACCATGAATCACAGAAATAAGCCATGTAAAATGTCCAGACTAGCCTCCATCATCATTACATCCTTAACATGGGTCTCAAGGTGATTTACAAGCAAACAAGAAAAAAATGTCAATAGTTGTTGAAACAGTACAAAAATAGTTTTAAAAACAATACACAATAAACAGATATGTTTGGGGATAATGTCTCCAACCGTTTCTAGAAAGTACAAATAGTGGTTGTCCCGCATCTTTCAACAGCATTGTTGTTCCAAAAATCAGGGGCAGCCACACTGAAAGCCCTGCTCCAGGTTGCCGTGGAGAGAGGTTCTGATATTTAGGGACTTCAAGAAGAAATTCTTCTGCAGAGCACAGACCTACTGGGTACATAAGGCCATGCCAGGCTTTTTTCTAACTCGATGCTTTTTGTTCCAAGTGGAGTCTTCCATAACAGGCATACTCTGTATGTGGGAGATGCCAAACCCTCTGGGAATTTCAGTGGGGGTGGAGGATGTGTGGGAGAGAGTAGCCACAGTTCCAAAGCTATGTCAAGTCTTTTAAAAGCTTCCCGTTTCCTACTTCCTTTCCCTTAAACCACATCTTATGAGCAGTCAGTCATGATATTACATCTTTTACACAAGCAGCTAAGTAAGATAAATGCGAGGATATGGGAACTTCCTGTTGAAGACTATAGCATGTGGGAAGCTTGCAGAGGTATCTGGCTGTTTGTTGTTGCAAGCAGAACAGTAGACTAGATGAACCTTGTCCTTGCTCCATCAAGCCACAATCTTATGCCATGGCCCATTTTCTGTGATATTGTGGAAGGGCCCTTTAGGAACACAGGAGTTGTCTTATACTGAGTCAGACCACTGGTCCATCCAGCACAGAATTGTCTATGCCGTCTTTCAGTTGCTGTCCAGAGATGCTGGGAACTGAACACAAGAACTTCTGCATGCAAAGCAGATGATCCGCTACTGAGCTGCAGCCTTCCCTATGCTTCATTCAGTGGCTTAGCACATGGGAACAATGATAAAAACACAGGTGCTCCTTATACACCTTTTCCATTTGAAACACTGGCTGAGTGGGTATATTCTTTATTTAAAATATTTATTATCTGTTCTTCACTGCACAGCAATTTCAGAGTGGTTCACGACTAAAGCAATTTCAGATTCAAACTAAGGCCACATCCACATCGTATACTTAAAATGCTATTAGACCACTTTAACAGTCATGGTTCCCACCTCCCAGAGACTCTTGGGAGTTGTAGTTTGTTAAGGGTGTTGAACATTGTAAGGAGGCCCCTATTTGCCTCACAGAACTACAATTCCCAGTGTGCCAGATTGATTGTTAAACCACTCTGGAGGAAATAGGGGTTTCCTATTCTCTGGTGAAACCCTTAACTGTTAAAATGGTTTAATAGTGCTTTATTCTACGAATATGGCCAAAGCAAGTACACGGGTAATCTGGTCACAGTCTCCTACGCTATGCTGAGCTGTATTGTACTTCTGTTTAAATTCTAGCAATTATTTCAAAGTGCTTATTATCCCTAAATTTGCATCTATCAATATAAATCAGCATGGGTACATTTTATACAAATTTCTGGGGTGTGATGTATAAGTGCCCCTCCCTGGCACAGCTTATCTGTCTTGCCCAGAAGCCATAGGGGCACCCAGTGTCACCTACACCTCTCTCAATATCTCAGCTGCTGTCAAAAGGCTCTGCATACACAGTGCCAGTGAGTCACCCTTAGCAGGTGCAGCTTGTATGGGAGCCAGGAAGCTCTTTGGCTTTGATTGGCACTAGATGGCAACCATATTAAATTTGTGCAATGCCCACGAGCATCTGATACAGCTATACTGGTGGGCACATTGGGCAGCACAGTGGGAAATCTAACAGGGTGGCTGCTCAGTTTATGTGTGGCCTAGCGCTACATCTTGGAAGTGTTCTGGGTTTGATCAAATAAGGTCTCCTAAAAGGAGATAAAATGATACTTTTCTTATACAGCCTTGCAACAGAAAATTAATATGGCCACAATCACAACTTGAGCAAGGGAGTCAGGAATGAGCCTAACTTGATACTTGGCCTATAAAAACAACTACCAGAGCTTTTCTCTTCCGCTCTCACTGACGGCAAGGCGCCATGCCGGCTAAGGGACCCCTCCAGAGCGTGCAGGTCTTCAGCAGGAAGAAAACGGCTACTGCAGTTGCTCACTGTAAAAGAGGAAATGACCTCATTAAGGTGAATGGAAGGCCTCTGGAAATGATAGAGCCCAGAACTCTGCAGTACAAACTGCTTGAACCAGTTCTCCTTTTGGGCAAGGAGCGCTTTGCAGGAGTCGACATCAGAGTCTGTGTGAAGGGTGGAGGTCACGTAGCACAAATATACACAATTCGGCAGTCTGTTTCCAAAGCGCTGGTGGCTTATTACCAGAAATATGTTGATGAAGCTTCCAAGAAGAAGATAAAGGATATCCTTATCCAGTTCAATAGGACCCTTTTGGTTGCTGATCCTCGTCGTTGTGAATCCAAGAAGTTTGGTGGACCTGGTGCTCGTGCTCGTTATCAGAAGTCTTACCATTAAAAGCAAACTATGCATTTGTTCAGTCTTTTAAATAAAGATGGAGAAAACTGAAAACAACAACAACAAGTACCAGAGAGGTAAGGGTACATCACTATCTATGAGTAATCTATTAACCACCACTAGAGGGGGCTTATGTGCTGTAACTGCTCTCTGAGCTCCCCCCCACCCCTTTTAGTGGGTAGGGAACGGAATGGGTGGTTATTGCTTTTAAACAGAGCCTAGGGCTTGCCGATCAGAAGGTCGGTGGTTCAAATCCCTGCGACGGGGTGAGCTCCCGTTGCTCGGTCCCTGCTCCTGCCAACCTAGCAGTTTGAAAGCACATCAAAGTGCAAGTAGATAAATAGGTACCGCTCTGGCAGGAAGGTAAATGGCATTTCTGGTTCGCCAGAAGTGGCTTAGTCATGCTAGCCACATGACCCAGAAGCTGTACGCCAGCTCCCTCAGCCAGTAAAGTGAGATGAGCACCGCAACCCCAGTCATCCACAACTGGACCTAATGGTCAGGGACCCTTTACCTTTACCTTTAATCTAAAATAACCATCATGGTTCTGTAATCACAATCAGCAGCATTAATTACAATACTGTTCTATAAGCATACAATGAAAAGGATGGGGAAAGCCTTACCACTCTTAAACCGCCCTAATGGGAAGTATGGCAGGATGGTTAACTGTTCAGTCTAACTAAGCCAATTTAAGGAATCTGGAGCTTACTGTACTCTGAGGCTCAAAGAGCATAAGGAAATTATCTAGGTTTACCCAGAACTATAGAACATGGAAATGAATTATCTCCTGATTTCCAGTCCAAGCCATATCATCATCAGGATATGCTAATGATGCCATGGAGATAATTCTCAGCCAAAGAACACAGGAGAAGTCAACTGCTTCTTCCCATCTATCAGTTAAGTCCAATCTCTGATTAATAGCTGAACTTTTCTTCTTAACTACTCTGCAACTCATCAGACACCTGTTTTTCCCACATTGGCTGTATCTAGTACGCTACCACCATCCTCCAAAGCCAAAGGCTGCCATGGAATGTTGAGGCCAGCCGTGCTCCATCTCAAAGTGCCAAATGTGTACTGCTTGGACATGCTCCAGTGTATTTTGGAGCAGATCGTTGCCAGTGCATTTGCTGATTAATTCCTACCCTCCTCTCAGTCCAGGATAGGCCCCATCTATCTTAGAAATGTCCAATTGGGTATATATAGCAGAAGTAAAATATTTTTCCTTGTATCTTCTCCCCCTTTAGAAGACCAGAGGGTGTGTGTGTGTGTGTGTGTGTGTGTGTGTGTGTGTGTTGGATATGATTATCAGAGAGGAAGATGCTGAGGCAATAATAAAATGAGCAGAAGCAGCTCTATTGTGGCAGGCCATTACATGCACCAAGCTGTGGAAAAGTTTGGTGATCCTACAACTTCCAGATTCCTTGCATCTGACAAAGTAGGCTGTTGCCTATGGAAGTTTGATGAGAAATGTATTTGTTAGCCTTTTTAAATTGTCAGAACCTGGTGTGTGAGGGTGTGTGTGTTCAAATCAAACCTTCACATTTGTGTGGTTGAAGCTGGGTCATTGCTAGTTATCCATTTCTTTTGTCCAACAGGAGACACAAAGACAAAGACACACACACACACACACACACACACACACAGAGTGTTTACAGCAAAGAAAATCAGAGGACAGCTTTGCCTGTTGTCTGCCTGTCTGCCAGGGCTGTGTTTTGTTTTTCTTAGGACTTATCCAAATTTTAAGTAATTCCAATCACAAATATGAACCTTACTGCGAAAAACCGTTCAGCACTATTTTAAATACCTTTGCATCACCTCTGCATATGTCAGCTAAGTTGCAGGGCAAATGGACCCTTGCTGCATGACTCACAAGGTAATCTCTCTCACTAAGGACCAGAAAAAAAATGCTCTGTAAACATAATTGTGGGAAGAAGGGGGAAGAAGCTACATTCTGAGGTCAAGGGTTAATGCTGATAGAGCTACTAGTACAAGCAACTAAGAAAACAAGGATTTCAGCCGTTGATAAAAGAAACCACCAGGGAGCTGATCACAGCAAGGCAGGGGAAAGGGAGTCCCAGGAAGAGAGAGTGGCTAAGCAAACACATTGATCTGTCCAGCCTGGGTCATTCACCTAATGCCTGAATGTGGGCTCTGCCCGGTAGACTTACAAAGAATGTGTTATAAATGGTTGCCACTTTTATTCCTGACAGAGGCTCGGGACCTTTAAAAGAGCTGCATGGCAAACAGAAATTCAACAGGTGTAACTGCTCCCATAACTGTGTCTTACTTACTTGGCAGACGGATGCCAACAACAGTATGCTTCCAATAGATATTTTGCTACAGCAACAAGTGGCAGTAAAAATCATCCTCACATCTGTTTGTCATTCAGATCAGTTTCCTCCACTTTGTGTTGTGCCATCCCAGTTCTTGTAGGAAAGTCCATATGGCTGTAGAACCTTCCATTGTTTCTGAATCCATAAACACTTGCACACATTAAATTTGTTGCTTAGTAGCACTTTGCTATGAATCAGAGCATTCCTGCCTGGTTTTAAGAATGTAGCTCTAGGAGAAAACACACGAGGTAGGAAAAGTCACAGCATGTCAGCACCAAAGAGGTAGGAAGTGGGCAAACAATGGAACACATCCAGCTTCCCCACTTGCCACAGATGCCATTATTAATCCTGGGGAGGGCTGAGCGGAAGCCTCAAAACGTAACAACCTGCCAATTATTCATCCTGTAAGTCTGATGAGGCATGGGGTGCGGGGACAGGGTACAATCTTGCAAGGACCTTGGAGGCTTTGCAATGGAATTCAAAGTGATTTGCGAGTACAGGAGTCAGTGCCTGGACAAGCACCACTCAATACATTCCAAGGCATTAGCTAACCAAACCAGTACCAAACTCTCTACCCACTCACCCACAATCTGTATCTAGCTTGCATTAGCACTGCATATCCCACTGCTTGGGGATATATATGTTATAGGACAGGATGGAGGGGGCTAACTTGTTTTGCTATTAGCAGGCTAATAGGGTTCCTTAATGGGGTTTGAAGGAGGTACGCTGGATAAACAAAACAAACAAGGAATTAAGGGGATGAGTAACTGCCCCGCTGTCTACAGCTCCTAATCCCTCCTGGGTTGGTCATGGGAGCCTGAGGTTACAGGATTTGCAACATTTACCTGGGACAGCAAATGAATCCATAGAGTTTGGGTCTGAGGTCTGTGCAGTTTGCCAGCAACTCTTATAGTAGCAAGCTCCATTGGGCATTCTGCTTGGGTTCTGAAAGTCTATGTAGAAAAAGCAGCTGTGGGTGTTTCTTTGTTTCCCTCTGTAATGTGGGAATACAGGCTCTCAAAAACAGCGGGGGGAGGGGGACTTAGAAAGGGGAGGACATGAGTGAATGCATATCTACACTTTTTTGTTTTGCTTTGTTTAAGGCAGTGTCTATAGTAGTTAGAGTTTTGAGCTAGGACTGGGAAAACCAAACATTTGGTTCACAAACTAGGTCTGGCCTGCATGCACTGGGACTTTTCCGATCATGCCAGATCTGCTGAGGTCATTCCCTGTCTTCAGTACCATTCCATCCTGACACATACCTGATGCCTCATCTTGTCAGATGGTAGAAAACTAACTACATTTCTCATTGCATAGTCACTTCCAACTCCTCTCTGCTTCAGCAGTATCCTTCTACATGAATGAGAAGGCTACTTCATGCGGAAAGCTATCAGTGTCTGCTAGTCATGGTAGCTGTATTTTACCGCTATGATCAGAGGTGGCATCTTTCTCAACTCAAGTCCCTGGGGAACAACAGCAGATTTTGCATTGTATCTACTTGTAATCATATAACTATATATGAAGTCTCCCAGAGATATCATGTCCTTAGTATGCTGTTAAGGCTGCAACTCTGTGTTCACTTATCTGGGAGTAAACCCTACTGAAGTCCGGTAGACATTTGTAGATTTATGCTGTAAGACAGAGGTTTTCAACCTTTTTGAGTTCACAGCACCCTTGAGCAACTACATTCTTTCTGCAGGAGCCCAGTTATGTCACCCCTTGCCTGCAGAGCTGGCACCCTCTCACCCTTTTTTTTCTTCTTGGGAGTCCTGCAGGCTGTTCAATAAAATTTGAGTTGCTCGTGTTTTCTTCAAAAGGTCATGTTGTGCTTCCAAATGTAGCTTGTAAAACATTATCTTGGCATCAAACAGAATGACGAGGAAAACTTTATCAACACGGTTCCTTTTTGTCATACACCTGCTTAAGGTTTAAGAAGTCTGCTTTTGGACAGGATGAGTTAATCATCCTACACAGAACAGAGTACAGTATTCAAGAAAGTGTTGATTCTGAGACCAGGGTGCAAAGTGTCCTTTCTCCAAAGATACCCATTATCAGACATGAGGCTAGAGTGCATCCTATTAGGATCTCATTATGATCTTTCTGTGTGGAGTTTATATACATGTAGTGGTACATGACTGGGTGCTGAGTTTCACCATATTCCAGTAGCGAGGAACATGTGGCTCTCTACCTGTTGTTGGACTCCAGCACCCATCAGCCCCAGCCAGCATGCCCAATGGTCAAAGATGATGGGAACTGGAGGACCACAGGTTTTCCACTCCTGACACATCCAGTGCCCTGTCATGGCAACATTGTTGATGAGGGTTGGCTGCTTTTCTTCTTTTAATCTCTCTTCCCACTGAAGTCCTTGGGAGGGACATTTTTTTGCACCAGGTCTGAGGCTGGTATAAAGTTATGCGATCACTTGGGGTCTAGGGTTTGGCATACGTGTGCCCCTATCCTGCCCATGTCCTTCTCCTCCTGGTTCAGCTGTTCCTCCACCATATATTTGCTGGTGAAATGGCTTCTCCAGCCTTGTGTTCTGCTGCCAGCATAAATATTCTGCTATCAGCATATCTAGCGTTGTGTCTATGGTTTCTGCTAAATCCTAAAGCATGTCAGCCAGTGTAATTTCAGCAAAGTATTTAATTGTCTGTTAGTACAATTAAA